CAAGACTAATTGGAAAGATGGCGCATGGGGCTTCAGCAGAGCGCCGATTCCAGACTTGCAAACAGATATTTCAACGTCTGGTTGGTAACACGCTTGCGGAAGGATCATCTTGCTAGACGAGGATGAGCTGCTTGATCAACTTGGCTGCGTGGACGTAAGAAGATCTAGATCCTGGTGAACCCACACCTGATCAAGGATGCGAAGGGTCTGAGTCAGAGGTGTTGGTAGATCGGAAGTCGGTCCTGTTTGAGAGCCACTTGAGATTCTGGGTCAGTGTGAGCCGCCACGTTTTCCTCCAACATAACACGAAATCTGTCCACGTTTTGACGCAAGTAGTTTCTCTGGTCACCGCCATGGCAGAAGCTCGCTGCAGACAAACTGAAGTGCAGCTGAACGGAAGGCTCCCGCTCCGGGTGATGGTCAAAGCTCTGATCGACATTGAATCGACATTCAAGTCTGAGCTGAATCAAAGATTGAAGAAGGCTGATCGGCGCAAAGCCTCTAACACAGAAATCCTCCCTGAGTCTAATTAATTGACACAAGTGCAACTGAAAGAAGCGTCCACGCATGTACTGACTTCAGCTGACATGATGTTGGCCTCAGCTTTCAGTTTTGCCTTCTCCTCACGAATGAGCAAGATGCCTTCCAGCTCGTGACACATGCTATCCAAGCTTTATCAGCAGCAGTACCTGAACGGATCCCAAAATCTATTCTGGCAGTCCACAGCACCGCGTCATCCGCAATCACAGCTAACGTGCGAATGCTCTTGTTGAGGCACCGTCGGCTGCGCATTCGAGATGGCTGCTGGGCCAGCCCGGCCCCAGCGGCTGCCAGGTCATAGAAATCTGGGAAGTTACATCTACGGTGGCAGATAGCTTCTGCAAGCTGTGTTACCGATCAGAGCGAACGCCTCAACGGACGTTGAGAACCCACCGCCGGAGGGAGGAGGAGGTTGGGTTGAGGCGCCAATCAGACATGGTCCGTCTTGTGATCAGCATGGATGAAAGTCTTGTGCTATTGCTATTGATTGTGTTACGCATCTTCCTTCCGGTCGACTCATGCGCTTGAAAGACATGTCTTGAGTGCTGGTCCGCTTCCTGGATTCAGATCTGAAGGTCCTTGGAGCACGGTGAGTTCGAGGAGCCGGCAGCGGAGTACATCGCGCATAAGCTGGAACAGATTAACGGCAAGCCAGCTGCCAGTTATTTGGACAAGGTGATCTTCCGATAATTCCAGACGACTCTTGCGCACCAGGGGCGGCTTTGCGCGCCCGGCGGAAGCCTAAGAGCAAGATGTCCAATGCGGAGGACCTTCGGAAAAAATACTTCTGGCGTCACAAGTCATGGGCAAAGCGCGGATCAAGCGTATCTGCAGAGAAGCTCAGTCACTTTTGATCGCTACCAGGAGTGTTTGCTGGGTTGTAACTCCAAGCAGATTGCGTCAGGTGCTCCATTTAACTCGTCTGCCTGTCAGGATCCACAGTTTCTGTCACTTCTGTCTGTTCCATGGAATGCTCTCAGTGTGAGTTCAAGTCTGCGCTAGTGGACGATCCAGAAGACTTACAAGAATGGTCTCTCTCTCTTGGCTCCAAGTTACATAAGGCGACGCGCAACACCAAACTCGAGGAGCTTCACTTTCAGGTGGCCTTCCCATCCCTACCCCGTGAATTTGTCGTCCTGGTTCCTCCACTCTGGACCACAGTCTTGTATGGCGCCTTGGTTTCAACTCACTCTTACGCCGAAAGAAGCGCCGTGGCTTTTCAGGGATTGATCAAGCTCCTGGTCAAGCGCGTCCGAGCTCTTACCTTTCCTTGTGGCGGTACATATCCTGAAGCGCGATTTTTGCGAAGCGCCTTCGTGGACCGGGGCTGATGAGGGCCTCCTTTGCTGACCGGACGGACAACTACGCCGCTGTGATGCCTTATCTGTGAAGCTTCTCACGACCAAGGTTCCGAAAAACTGGCTGGATGGCTTCGACAAATCCCTGCGGATCCCACTTGGGCGGAGATTGACCTTTCGGTGCTGGAACGCTTTTGGCCTTTTGTGATTTTCGTGAAAGCCTGGGTCACGCCAAGTCCGATCACATGTTTCAGCTCGGCAGATTCGAGAAATCAGTATGGGGTTTGCATGCGTGCTCCCTCGTCTTCGATAGGGGCTCTTGATGACCCTCGTTTCGCACACATGCGGTTCCTGATGGAATGACGCATCTTGGATATGTGATTTGTGGGCTGTGAGTTCCAAAACGAAGGTACTTATGCGCTGCAGTGCTTCACACACACATGTTCTTTCCCCTGAAGGCTCTCCCTTCCCGTGTTCTCTCATTATAATCCTTCGGGTTTGGACTCTTGGGGCACTTTGGGGGGGTACAAGTATAGTTTGGGGAGAGAATGCGGACCAAACAAATTGTTCTCCCATGTGCCTTCGGGGGGGGGAGAGGTGGACGGGGCTGGGTCTTGCGCCACCTGCTTTGGGTATTGGTATCTCACATATGCCCACATGTCAGCTTGTCAGTATTGTCAGTTCTTCAGATGCTCCATGGCATGCACATTCAGACATGTCTGCTTCGGTTGCGGGTGCATGCTTTTTCCTTGGAGTATTTTTCGTGACTGATTTGAGAAACATTTTGGTTTTGAGTTTCTGCTTGATTTTCCCATCCCAATATTTGGGAGGTATGTTGAACTGTCTTTCCTCGAAACATTTGGGGTCAAATGGGAAGGAGACTTTAGTCATTTTGATATCCTGCCCTTCCCGCCCTTATGTATGTCCTGGCTTCAACATCCCTATTTAGGATCCAAGATCCTCACAGATCTGTCGGGGGGTTCTTGATGACCCTTGTTTCGCACACATGCGGTTCCTGATGGAATGATGCATCTTGGATATGTGATTTGTGGGCTGTGAGTTCCAAAACGAAGGTACTTGTGCGCTGCAGTGCTTTACACACACATGTTTTTTCCTCTGAAGGCTCTCCCTTCCCGTGTTCTCTCATTATAATCATTCGGGTTTGGATTTTTGGGGCACTTTGGGGGGTACAACTTGGATTAGACGTACATGTTGATTCGCCCGGTGCCTTTCATTGACTGATCGTCCAATGTGCTCCCACATGCCAACACATGCCAGCGACACCGGGTGCAGTATCCCGGGTCCAGGCGAACGAGCCCTTAGTAACTTTGATGAGGTCACCGAAGATATTTCATGTTCCTTATAGGATTTCCTTGTAGAGTTGCTGAATGGGCTCCGAAAGCTGAAGGTCCAGTCACAGCGCACAGGGCTCAGGCCGTTCTGCAGGCAGCCTTCAGACGCATTAGGGCAGCGGGCAACAGGAAGCTCATTGCTAGAGAGCAATGGTTATACGCGGATGCCGTGTTGCACCAAGCTCTAGGCAAGCCAAGGTTCCGCGGCAAGCGAAAGAAAGGGGACGAGGTACCGTGGTGATTGTCAGGCTCTGCCTGCAGGAGGTGGCAACAGGGCAAAGGCACACAGGTGCGCCTCAGAATCTTCCAGCCCCTAGCAGGGTTCCCTGCGAGATTGCCGCCAACCTTCGACGTAAAAAAGGAAAGGGGTAATGAGCGAGTGATTGCATTGACTTGATTGATTCAAAGAATTTAAATTCGCATAATGTAATTTGCGCGATCAGAACTTTTGTCATATATTTGGAGATGAAGACTTTGGAACTGTTCCCCAAATAGCGAAACAAGGATACAGCCTAAGCAAGGCTTGCCCGGCTGGACTGTACCTTGTCGAGCCATCAGGGAGGGCAGGATGGGGCGTTTTCCCGCCAGAAGAAGAAAGAACCAAAACATATTTAAGGATGGTTTTCAAAAACTTGTCTTTTTGAAAGTTACTCGAAGTTTTACTTTGTGCTTAACATCGTGTTTCATGTCCAGACACGTTGCCATTTGAAAGATGAAAACAGATTGACATATCCGACGCTGAGTTCAGACTCAAATCTTGATATCCGCCAAAATTCCGACCCATGCTTGATCGCAAAGTCTATCACCAAACCGCATGGGCTGACCCTAACAAGTAACAAGGTTGGTGGGGGCAAAGGCACACAGGTGCGCCTCAGAACCTTTTAACCACTTGCAGGGGTCCCTGCGAGATTGCCGCATTGGCTTGATTTATTCAAAGAACTTTAATTCGCATAATGTAATTTGCGCGATGAGAACTTTTGTCATATATTTGGAGAGGAAGACATTGGAATTGTTTTGGAACCAAGCAGGCCCACCGTCCCCAAATAGCGAAACAAGGATACAGTTGAGATGATCTTTGAAAATTGTACTTGTTATTTGATTACTTTGGACTCGAACGGTGGGATGTTTAGGAAGCCTGACCCTCACCAACTTGTTACAAATAGGAAGTTGAATTCTCGCAGCAGCAAGAGACCACAGGTTACGGGTGAATTGCCTTACTAGCCTTAACAGCCAAGTGATCAAGATACCCGCAGTTTGCAGGAAAAATGTATTGCACATCATCTTGGCTCATGAGTCACATCCGGTGCCGCCAGTCCAGCCATGCCTGCAAAATTTTGAAGTATGCCAGATTTTCAGTATCCGTCTTTGGTAAGTTGATCATGCTTTGAAAAAATCGGGTGTATCCTCCCTTCTGCAATATGCATGAACGGTGCGTACGCTTCACTGCAGAAGGCCAGCGAGATTTTTTCCAAATTTTTGGCAGCAACATTTTGAGATTTTGAACTCACAAAGCTCCCAGATCCAACTGTGAAGGCACCAGGGAATGTCATCACTGCAGCTTTGCTGCTCCTGCCTTGGGCGACGCCTGGCACTCAGGACCAATTTCCCAGAACATGGTATCCCTTGACTTAATTGTTGTTGGGTGGTTTGGAGAGGTGTTCTGGAACACGTCGTTTGCTTTAATTTTCGCAATAAGATTTCTGCTGAAAGCAATCCCCATCATGTGTTTTCAAGACTGATTGGCGACACTTCAAATGAAGGGTTCCCGCTTTTTCATGTGAAAACCATCTTTGAGCAAGCTGCAACTCAGGTTTTCGTTCACGCTGGCCCTCTTCGTATTTGCTTTCAAGGACATTGAGCACCAACTGTTTAGTTAGTGAAATTGAGGATTCAGTAGCTTTGAAGTACATGGAGCACCCATTGTTGAGGGGAATAGTAAAAGGATTTGGTAACCCAAAGCCACCAATTTAGGATTGTGATTTCGTCATGCGATGCCTTTTGAGTCCTGACTTGGTGGACCAACAATCCGCTCTTTACCTACTACATCGACGTGTAGTTCTAGTATCATCCGCATATGTGTGTGGTAAGCGCAACGAAGTCGTATGCCGCAAAGCCACATTTGAATGATTCAGGCCCTTACATCATTTCCCTGAACCTAAACCACAAAATCTTCATTTTTGAGCCCCTGAATCATGTAGAAGGTACAGTTCGGCATTCTGAGCGGAATTGGAGTGCTACGGTCAATCATCACGACCGACAATTCTTCGCATTTTCCCCGGGAACTTGGGAGTTGCTCCCACGGCCTAATGGACTGCTAAGCTTGGCATGCTTGTCCAGTCATCATACTCCTTGGGGCAAATTCAATCATTCTTTGGCTTTGAAGGCCTGTTACAATTTTTTTCTGGTTCGGGGTGTTTGCCACCTGTAGAGTACAGAGCATGCGTGTTTGAGCACCCGTGGTTTTCTGGCACAATCGGGAGTTGATCAACACGGAGTCCCGAAAACAATCCCGTATCAGGTCCCCAAGATGGACCCATGAATGGGACAGATTCCGAATTCCATGAAGCCCTTGAACCTCGCCAGCCCGAACACAGAACGCTTCCATTTCAAGGAGTTTGGAGCACTAGTTTGGGGCCTTATAGCAAGTTCGGCCTTGCCGGGCACCAAGCTGTGCAGGCCACATTATGGGCCTTTCCGGAAACCAAGAAATGTGAGATGGCTTTGTGGTCCAGGGGGTGTGTGTATTGGATGCATGTGTTTTGGGGGTCATTGTTGGTTCTAGTAGTTTATGTTGGCATGGCTGTGTCCACAAGATCAATCAGGAAGGTGGCGACGATTTGTACGGCGTACATCTTGAAGCTTTTGAGGAGTCAGACTTGGAGTTGTCCATCACTGTTTTGCTGATCAGCGGAGATGTCCTCTGAGGTGCTGTTTCTTGTTACCAGTTAGAAGCTCGTATTCAAAATTCTAAAATTTTCTCACGAAGGAAGACTCGTATCGTGTTAGGATGAAGTTTCAACCAATTCTTGCAGGCGTCCTTTCCCGAGGATTATTTGTTGGGAGCTTTGCGCTTTCTTCCTCCAAACTTCCCTTTGCCAAAAAACATAGGTTCATAGATCCTAAAAATCCCTGAGCTTTAAACTCGAAACCCATGTTCACTCGCAAAGATTGGCTCTCCTGCTGCTCGGACTGGGGGCGGCCAGGCGCCAGCAGGCGCAAAGTGCTTTGTGTCGTGCTTCACATCAGCGGTATAATATGGCAATTTCTCAAACAATCCGTTTAATGTAGCCTTCCCACAATTTCCACATTACATCGCTAGGTCCCTTAAGGGCACCCCTCTTGCAAATACGAGTCAATTATGGACCCCGTTCTCCAGTCCTCAAGGATCTGCGTGGTTGATGTTCATTTGGAAGTCGGGCAGAGTTACAACTATGTGCTGATGCCAGGGTCCTTTCCTTTTGTCAGAGGCTTTCCTGCATCACAACACATGTGCAGACCTTTGCGGGAGTTGCGGCTGGGACGGAGACAGGGTTTCACTCCATGAAGAGGGTCCTGCTAAGTTCGAGCGGGAATTCCCGCAAGTGGTCTGTACACGGTCCTTCCAAGGGATAATCACGGCTCCCAAATAAGCCCTAGACCTCAAACCTTCATTCCGGAGTTCCAATCCCTAAGCCCTAGGAGTTTACTTCAATCCTGTAAACCTATAACCCTTGGTTTCCATTTCATTTATTGGGGATAATATAGCCCCATATCTCTTTAATATAAACCCTATATATCCCTACAAAACCTCTATATAACCCTACAAAACCTCTATATATCCCTACAAAACCATTATATATCCCTATACAACCCTAAAAAAAAAACCTATGCGACCCTCCTATACTCCCTTTATAGCCCTAGTGTTCCAAGCTCCTAGTTCTTCCCAAAACCCTAAACCCTAAACCCTTTTGCAAGGCGTCTCGGCCCTCAGCTTGCGCGCTTGCATGTACTTCGGGGTTGCTCAGCTTCGGCTACTTCCCCCAATGGTATGCATGTATATGATTATTTTTTCATGTTACGTTTTTGCAAGTGAAGTTACTGGTAGCCCCTTTGGCTACCTCGCCAATATCAATGGCCATGACGCCCGAGGAGGCGCAGCGCATTTCGAGCGTGGTTAATGCGCCGTACGCGCAGCAAGCCACGATTGTGGGCCAGCCGGCTTACCAATCCGCACAACAGC